AGATTGTAGTATTTTCAAATAGAAATTTAAGAACAGTTGTGTTGCCCTGGTGGCGTTGTCCTATGCACCAAAAGGTTTTGAGTTCAAATCCTCAGGGCACATACCTAGCTCAGGAGTTCCATCCCTGGTTGGGGCTCAATAGGAGGCAGCCAATTGATGTTTCTCTCTCAGATCGATGTTCCTCTCTCTCTCTCTCCCTCTCTCTGTCTCTCCCTCTCCCCCCACCACCTTCCGCTCTCTAAAAATCAATGAATATGTCATTCGATAAGGATAAAAAGAAAAAAAAGGTTGTTTAAATACTGAAATACGTATGTAATAGAATACATAATAAAATATGTATTACATATGTAAAATATGTAATAGAATACATAATAAAAAGAAAAAAGAACCAGAAGATTAAAAGAAAACATAGAGAATTTTTAAAAAATTAAAGTAAAAGAATTGAAATAATTTTTAAAAAATCAATAGACAAGTTAGGACCACAACAGACACAGTGGAAGGGACAGTAAGTGGAAAAAAGCAGATCAGCAGAAATTATCTATAACAAAGCACAGAAAAAAAGGAGAGAAAGAGAGAGAGAGAGGGGAGTGATATAAAGAATAGACTGAGAAGGTCCAATATTCACCTAATCAAAATACCAGAAGGAGAGAATAAATACAATATTCAAAGAAATAATAGCTAACTTAATATATAAAATCATAGACTAAACAAACATCAATGAAAAACTTGACCACTAACATTACAGGAACTTAAGTCCTGGGCAGAACAAATAACAAATCTGTATCTGTTAGGACAAACAGGGGAAGGTGGAAAGATTTAAAGGAAGGCAATATTTCTACATTTAAACTGATAAAATGTGATACCAATAGACTGCAAGGAGTTCTGTGTGTATAATGTAATACCTAGAGCAACCATTGAAAACATCTATAGTGATACTCAAAAGTATTATAGGTAAATTAAAATGGAATACTAAAAAAATGTTCAGCCTGGCTGGTGTGACTGAGTGGTTGAGGGTCAGTCCATGAACCAAGAGGTCACTGGTTTGATTCCCAATCAGGGCACATACCCAGGTTTAGGGCTTGATTCCTAGCAGGGGGAATGAGGGGCTGCTACTTGATGTTTCTCTCTCCTCAATATTTCTAACTCTCTATCCTTCCCTCTCCCTTCTTCTCTAAAAATCAATAAAAACATATTTAAAAATATGTATTAAAAAAAGTTCAAGCAAGTCCACAAAGGCAAAAAATAGAAAATAGAGATAAGAAAAACAAGGGGAAAAGAGAATAAACAAACAAACAAATAAATATAAGTAGAAGACGTGAGCCCTGCCACACTAAGGATTCCACTAAACGCATAAATCAGGTCTACCTTATTTGTAATAGCCAAAACTAGAAACAATCAAAATGTCCCTCCAGAGATGAATGGTTAAACAAACCATGGTACATTCAACTGCTCAGCAATAATAAAAAAGCAGCAAACTATTGATACCTGCAGCAACTTAGATCTCAGTGACATTCTAAGTGAAAAAGCCTATCTCAAAAGTCACAGCTATGCAACTGTAGAGCTAACAGATTAGTGAGTGCCAGAAGTCAGTGATGGCTGGGAGGAGGAAAAGTATGGCTGTAAAGGGGTAGAACAAGAGATATCTTTGTGTAGATGTATCTTGAATGTGGCAGTACACATAGTACTAATGTCAATTTACTGCTTTTGATATTGTACTATAGTTATGCAAAATTTAATTGTAGGAAACTGGGTGAAGGGTACATGGAACCTCTTTGTATATTTCTGCAACTTCCTGTGAATCTATAATTTTAACTCTAAGAAGTAAAACAAGATCCTAAATCCAGGCTGCACAACTAAACCAGATAAATAAAACTCTCAGGACAGGAATTATGAATCACTACTTTTTAAAAGCTCACCATTTGATTCCAATGTGCAATCAAGGTTGTTAAGAAGTGCCTTCTAGTTTGCTTAACCCAGTGAGGCAACAAGCAAAAAAGTGACAAAGCAGGTGTTGTGTGAGACAAAGAGTGACTGCAATTTTACAGTGCCTCTCTCATCTTTGGACTCTTCAGTCCTCCATTCTCTAAATTTAATGTGGCTGACATAATATCTTATATACTTGTGGAAAAATTGTGTTCGTGGGGCAAAATCACAAAACATTTGAAAAGGCCAGCCATTTCAAAAACAGCAACAACAACAAAAAAATCACACTGATTACAGAATCCAACAGATCTATGAGAATAAATAAATTTTAAAAATTAAATTAGACTAGTACACATATTAAAAGAAAGAGGAAGATATTAGCAATATGATAAAAGAACCAAGAAAAAAACCAGATATAATAAGTATGAGAAATGTAATAGTTGAAATAAAAAATACATGATGTAAATAGCAGAATATATATATGGTCATGTATGTACTGTCAATTAGTGTTCAACGTATATGTCAAAGCAATCCCGTGAGGAAAGGAAACAACTGGTGCTGGAACAATTGGATTCCCATGTGGTAAAACACTGTATCTTGACCCCTAGAGCACACCACATATAGAAGACCCAACATAAAAGCTAAAATGATAATGCTTTTGGGAGAAATCATAAACATACATGTAAGAAGTTTTAATCAATGTTAGCAAATCTAATCCAACAATATATAAAAATTATAATGCATAATGACCAAGTAAAGTTAACTTAGGAATGCAAGGTTGGTTTACAACCTAAAATTAATGTAATTCACCATATTAACTGACTAAAAAAAGTTAAAAAAAATATCATCAGCTCAATAAATTCAGAACAGACATTTGTCAAAATCCAATATCCACTCTTGGTAAGAAATCTCAGCAAATTAGGAATAGAAGAGAATGTTTACAACCTGATAATAGACATCTACAAAGATCACAATATTGAAAAGTTGAATGCTTTCCACCTAAGATCAAGAACAAAACAAGAATGAGTGTTCTTATCCTTCTAGTTAACACTATACCAGAAATTCTAGCCACTGCAATAAGGTGAGAAAAAGAAACAACAGACATTCAGATTGGAAATGAAGAAGTAAAATTCTCTTTATTCACAGACAACATGATAATCTATGTAGAAAAGCCTATTGAATCTACAAAAAACAAAACACAACTATCAAATAATATGTGAGTTTAGCAAGATTGAAAAATATAAGAGCTATACACAAAAATAAACTTTGCTTCTATATACTAGCAAAAAGCAATAGGAAACTGAAATTAAAAAACATTTATAAAGCATTAAAATATGAAATACTTAGGTACAAATATAACAAAGGGTGTGCAATATTTTTACACTGAAAATTTATAAAACACTGCTGAGAGAAATTTTTAAAGGCCGAAATAAATGGAGATATATTCTGTGTTTATAGGTGGATCAAGGCTCAATATGTTCTTCAACAATGCTTCCAAAATTGATCTATAGATTCAACATAATTCTAATCAAAATCCCAATAAACATTTTGTAGCTAAATGATTCCAATAAAGATGATTCAAAATTTATATGAAAATGTGAAGCCCTAGGACAGGCAAAACAACTTTAAAATGAAATTAAGTGGGAGGACTTACGGTATCTGACTCTGACTTATTATGAAGTTTCAATTATTAAGACAGAGTGATACCAGCATAAAGATGGAAAAACATATCAATGGAAGAGAAAAGAATTCAGAAACAGACTCACATATATATATATATCAATTAATTTTCCACTAAGATGCCAAAGCAATTCAATGGGTGAATGGATAATCTTAACAAATAAGAAACAATGGGATACCCAAATAAAAAAATGAAACACTCTAGTTTTAATCTCATACCTTACACAAAAATTACTTTAAAAAAGGATCATAGACCTAAATGTAAGAGCTGAAACTGTAATACTGTTAGGACAAAACAGCAAAAAATTTTAGTGACCTCAGGTTTGGCAAAAAGTTCTTAAATAGAACATAAAAAGCATGATATAAATAAAAATAATTTCAATAAATTGTACATCATCAAAATTAAAAGCCTGTGTTCATCAAAAGATACAGGCAAGCATACACTGAGAAAAGATATTTTCAAAACATATTTAACAAAGAATTTTTAGTTAGACCATATAAAGGTCTTTTTTAAGTTAAATATAAAAAGTAAACAACCCAATAAAAATGGGCAATATTTAGACACCTCACAAAAGTAGATATATAGATGGCAAATAAGTAAAGAATGCATGATCAATATCACTGATCATTAGGGAAAAGCAAATAAAAACCACAAGATGATACTACACATCTACTCTTGTATTACTAAAATTATAAGGGCAATACCAAGTGTTGGCAAGGATATAAAGAAACTGGAACTCTCACCCACTGCTGGTAACAATGTAAAATGGCAAAACTATCTTGGAAAACAGTTTTACAATTTCTTCAAAAGTTAGACATAGATCCAACACATGACTCAGCCATTCTAATCCTGGGTATTTACCCCAAAGAAATGAAAGCATATATATACACACAGACTTGCATTTGCAACTCTGTTAGATCCCCAAACTGAAAATAAACCAAATGCCCATTTGGTGTATCAATATAATGCAATACGACTCAAAAAATGAATCAACTACTGATACACACAACAGCATGGATTAATCAATCTCAACATAATTATGCTCAGTGAAAGTAGTTCAACAGAGGAGTAAATGGTGTACAATTCCATTTAGATAAAATTCCAGAAAATCCAAAATAATAAAAAATTACAGAAAGCAGATCAGTGGTTGCCTGAATATAGGGTGGCAGATGGATGGGAGGCAACATGAGAGAAGGATCACAAATAAAACTTTTGGAAATGACATATATTCATTATAGTGATTATGGGGATAATTTAATGGGTGTATACATATGTCAAAGTTTATTAAATTGTATCTTTTAAACATGTGCAGTTAAGTCACATACCGTATGTCAATTATACTTTAATAATATTGTAGGAAAAAGACAAGGAAACTGCTAATATCTAGGTAATTTATATATATTGAAATACTGGAAGAAATAAAAAGGTAACCAATTTTCCTGCAGCAGCAGCAGAGAGCTAGCTAAGTAGCAGCCCTCTGGCTGACCAGGAAGCTATTAGGAAAGCCAACAACACTGTCCCTGGGTCATGGAGGCAAGGCAATAGGAGTCACATTGGCGCTACCACAGAAGCTTATTTGGCTTTTGGTGGAGCTGCCCTGGACAGTGGAGACCAATATCCTGTGCACCACAATGGACTGTTACAAGATCCTACCTAGTAACCCTCATCCAGCATGCATCTGGGGGGGAAAATCACTACCTGCAGGATGGCATAATAAGTCAACAGTAAGAAAAAATTGAAAATGTAGTGAAATTCTACTGCAATACAACTGAAGAATCCCTTCAAATGCTCTAAAAGACTATTTTCTTAGCTTTTTTATTTTTATTTTTGTAAAACGGCACTTTTAAAAAATGTGTGCTAAAATAAGAAGCATAAATGTAATAAATGTATCAATTCAAATGATAATGAATGAGTCCTAAAAAGGCAAGCAGAGGATTATGGCAAAACCTTCCAGTGTACATCATGGCGATCTTTATGCTGTTAAACTGCATTGCAGCTACATATTTTCCAAAATAATAAAAAGACTCTTCCACTACACAGGAATCCATCTAGTAAGAAAAAGGGAAATGGAAAACTACATGCATAATCAGAAATTTTCACATCAGACCTTTAAATCACTGACCAATAACTCCACACCTAAAATAGACATCCAAGAAATAGGCACTTTGGAAATAAAGCTGAACCAGACTCAAGTAACTGCCATGTCAGAAAACAGACTTCTAAAACTCCTCCAAGACATATTTAGAAGGCTTTCACTACCTAATAGGGTTTTAGAAGCCCATTTTGGGGCTTTCAACCAACTCCTCTGGGCAACGTTGGTAGGAAGTATTAAAAACCAGGATGCTGCTATGTGTATTTAATTCTTTTGTCAATAGCAACTGTGATCCTTGGTTAGGTTCAGATGCTTTCTAAGAGCTAACCTCTTTCAATAATTGAAAATCCTAACGCTGTTGAGCCAATTAGCACAAGTGTACAAGTGGACAGGGGTAAAAGTCCATTTAATATTTACAATGAGGAAAAACAGTCAAAAGAATGTTGTTTCTTCATTTCTTGTACAGATGTCTTGTATTTCATAAAACTTTACACCTTCTACACCCTGGGATTCCCAATCCCTCCGTATGGTCTTATTCTCAAACCAAACTGCCATTTGGTTCTCAAGTTACACTTTCCATTAATGCTCAGATGTATACATTTCTTTTGCCAGTCCTGAGAGAGCTTCATTCAGAGATACCCAAATTAATGCTTTTATAGATAATTGTTTACAGTCAGGTGGAATCTCCAGAGAAACTCAAATGAATGAAATACAAAATTCTGCAGATGACAGCACTGATAAGCCAAGTTATAATATGTGGTGATGGATTTTGTTTCCATTTACCATACAGCATTTTAACAGATAATATTACAAGCAACAGTTTATTAACAGAGACTGAAATGCATGCTTTATCTCAAAATGACTCTAAGACTTAAAATTCAAGATGAGAAATCTGCACCTAATATAAATTTCAGTGCACATAATATGATGATTCCGTCACAAAACATGACATAATCAGAACCAAATGATAGATTTTTAAAGTAATTTTGGAAAATGTCCTGTAGGTAATTTGATGGGCAAGAAATCACATAATAAAGGTCCTCAGTCTGACATTAATATGGAATTTGACACAGTTGCCCTCTAGTACAGCCCAGAGTCCTAGAATAGATTTTGGTTGCTTCCAAGTTTGGGCAGTTATGATTAAGACTGCTATAAACATCAGATATAGGCTTTTGTGAGAACATGTTTTCAACTCCTTTGGGTTAATACCAAAGAGCACAATTGCTGGACTGAAAGCTTAAGAGTACATTTAGTTTTGTAAGAAACTGCCAAATTGTCTTATGAAGTGGCTGTACCATTCTGCATTCCCACCAGCAACGAATAAGAGTTCCTATTGACCCACATCCTCACCAGCATTTGTTGTCAGTGTTCAGGATTTTGGCCATTCTAAGTCTTGTTTTAATTTGCATTTTCCTGATGACTTGTGATGTGGAGCATCTTTTCATATGCTTATTTGCCATCTGTATTTCTTCTTTGGTGAGGTGTTTATTAATGTCTTTGGCCCATTTTTTAATTGGGTTGTTTTATAGTTCTTTTTAAAGGTTTTTAAAAAATATATTTTAGATAACAGTCCTTTATTAGATGGGATTTTTACAAGTATTTTCTTCCAATCTGTGGCTTGTCTTCTCATAATCTTGACATTGTCATTTGCATAGCAGAAGACATTAATTTTAGTGAAGTACAGTTTATCAGTTTTTTTCATGGATTTTGCCTTTGGTGCTATAGAGACATCACCATACCAAGGTCATCTAAGTTTTCTCCTACATTGTCTTCTAGAGGTTTTAAGAGTTTTGCGTTTTATTTAGGCCTATGATGCATTTTGAGTTCACCTGAAGGGTGTGATGACTATGTCTTTTATTATTTTTGCACATGGATGTCTAGTTGTTTCAGTACCATTTGCTGAAAAGACTGTCTTCGCTCTATTGTACTACCTTTGCACCTTTGTTAAAAATCAATTGACTATATTTACGTGGGTTTATTTCTGGGCTCTCTATTCTATTCCATTGATGTTTTTGTTGTTTTTTTAATCAATACATTTTCTTGATTGCTATAGTTTCACAGTAAGACCTGAAGTTGGGTAGTGTCAGTCCTCCGATGTTTTTCTTCAGTATTGTGTTGGTGATTCTTGTAACTCTTCATATAAAGTTTAGAATTCAGTTGTTGGTATCCACAAAATAACTTGCTGTGATATTGATTAGCACTGCATTGAATCTGTAGATCAAGCTGGGAAGAACTGACATCTTGACAATACTGTTTTCCTATCCATAAACATGAAGTATCTTTTAATTTATTTAGTTCTCCTTTGATTTTATTCACCAGAGTTTTATAGTTTTATTCACTGAAATCATTTTAGGCTCAAGTACCCAAACTCATATTAAACCTGTCTTGGAATAACTGAACACAGAGACATAAACTAACTTTTTATTAACACATATCTCTACCAGCCATTCAACTGCATGGAGAATTCTAACTTCTTGGACCTCGAGATGTTTGATGCACAGATGCAGAAACACAGTTTTTTTGGTTTTTGTTTTTAATCTGCTTCTAGGAAGTATTCTGAAAACACACCAGCTTTTTACAAGTGTTAATTTATCTGACATGGAAATAAAAACAGAAAAATTCTGCTACTACATTACTATACTTGTTTACAAAGCTTATTTAAGCAGTATAGAAACACAGATAATGAGTACTGGTTTTAAAACCCTGGGGATTTTGTTATCAGCAGTGAAACCCAAACAGCAATGGATGCATTTTGTTTTGGCTGATTTGGCCTGGAACGCTGTATTCAATTTAGAGATATTGAAATCTAGACATGTTGAACTGTGCTCAGGACTCAACATCTAATAATTAGAGTTTACACATGGAATCAAACTTGTAATTTTCTCATCAACTGACAAAATGGAGAACAGGGACAGCAGTATTTCAACAATATAAAATGCAGCTGGATTATACAGTTCCTAAATAGGTTCTTTATCATTCTTTCTCTTGTATATATAAATAGGAAACCTATGATAAATGTGAATGCATTATAGAGTAGAAAATATTGATCGTTGAAAAAGAAATTTACAGCTGACTTCTCAGCAGAAATAATGAAAGAAGATGGTGGAAGGTATTGTCAAAGTGTTAAAATAAATATAATTCCCAACCTTTAGAATTCTATACCTGCCAAAATATCTTTCACTATCAGCAAGGTTGCAACAGAGCTGGTAAAAATGCTCAGCTTTGGATACATTTTGAAGGTAGGATCAACTGGATTGGATATGGATGGATAAAAATGCAGGTTTCAGGCCAAGAATGATATGAATGGAGTTTCCATTTACTCAGATGGGAAAACTGAAAAAGAGCAGATTTGTGTGTGCCAGAGGGAAAAGGGTAGTGGAGAGGAGAAACTGAGGTTAGGAAATGTTCAGTTTGAGATGGCTATTAGATAGACATCATAATGAAGATGAAAGGAGATAGTTGGACATTCAAGTTTGAAGTTCAAGAGAGAATTCTAGGCTATAGATATACAATTGAGAGTCAAGAACAAATACATGAAGCTGGATTAGATCACTAAGGGATGAACATAGATACAGGGACACTCTAAGAGGTGGGGGTTGTGGACGTGAGGAAGAAATAGCAAAGAAACTAAGGAAGGAAAGCCAAAGAGTTAAAAACAAAAAAAATCAAATGAGCATGATATATCAGAAGCCAAGTGAAGAGAGTGTTTAAATCAATAGAGCACAACTGATCAATTTTGTCAAATGCTGCTGATAGGTCAAATAAAATAAAGACTGAGGATGGAGCAACATGAAAGTAAATATTACCCTTTTGAAAAGTTTTGATTGAATGGTGGGGAGAAAGGCAGATTACAGTAGGTTCAAGAGCAAACAAAAAGTGAGACATTGGAGCCAGAAATTTAGACAACTCTTTCCATGAAATTCTGGTAAATGAGACACAAAATTTAGTACAAATATAGAATATTTAAATAACATGATTATAAATATGAACTAAGGGATACATATAAAACACTGTACTCAACTATTTCCTAATTTATAATTTCTAAAGTATACACAGATCATTACCAACAATTGACCATAAAAGAGGACAAATTTCAGAAATTTGAAATCTAACAATATGTTCTGAAAAATAATGTAATTAAGCAAGAAATCAATCACAAAAAGATAAAAATTTGTTATGTTTTTGAATACTTAAAATCATACTTATAAATAAATAACCAATTAATCAAATAAGAAGTCATAATGGAAATTAGAAAATATTTTATAAAGAAAGAAGTACACTAAATATGTATGATACATTCAAAAAAGTATTTTGAGGAAATTTCATAGCTTTAAATATGTATATGAGAAAAAAGAAAGCCTCAAAAGTAATAATGTAAGCATTCATCTAAAGAAACTTAAAGAAGGAAAATAGATCTAAAGAAAACAGAAGGAAATAATAAAGGACAAAAGTTAATGAAATAATAAAACAAACAATAGGAAGGATCAACAAAGCAAAATATTGGTCCTTTGAAAAGGCTACTAAAAACAACAGACTAGAAAAAGAGAAAATCACTACAGATTCTGTGGACATTAGAATGTGGAAAGGATATGGTACACAACAGACTCCGATATTACATAGAATGGAAATATGCAACAGAAAATTTTAAATAAGTATGATTAACTGGTTAAGGACACTAATGGAAAAAGTAGACAACATGCAGTAGCAGGTGTATAATGTAAGCAGAGAGAAAGTCTGAGAGAATAACAAAAAATGCTAGAAAAAAATACTGTGACCAAAATGAAAAATGCCCTGGATGGGCTCATCAGTAGACTGGACACAGTCAAGGATAAATCACTGAGCTTGAAGACAGGTCAATAAAAACTTCCCAAACTGAAATACAATGAGGAAAAAAAGAATGAAAAACATAGAACAAAATATCCAGGAACTGTGGGTATAACTGAAATACTAGAAGGAGAGAAAAGAAGAAAAGAGCATAAGAAATATTTGAATGACCTAGAACTCTCCAAATCTATATTCAGAGAGCTGCAAAAAACTGATGAAAGAAATCAAAGATCTAAATAAATGAAGATTTATTCCATGTTCAAGGATTGAAATACTCCATATTGATGTCAATTCTTCCCAACTTGATCTAAAATTCAATGCAAACCCAATCTAAATCCCAGAAAGCTATTTTATAAATATCAAGAAACTAATTCTAAAGTTTACATGGAAAAGCAAAACACCCAGAATAGCCAATACACTATTGAAGAAGACAAAGTTCACTGCAGGTTATGGCAGCTCTTTCAGACAGCATGGTCTGGCAAAAGAATAAACAAAATAGATCAATGGAACAGAATGAAGAGCCAGAAAAAAGGCTCAAACAAATATAGGCAACTGATCTTTTACAAAGGAAAGATAACAAAGACAGAGCAGTCTTTCAACAAATGCTGGTAGAACAATTTCAGGATTTCCATATGCAAATTAAGTGAATATATATACAAACTTTACATCGTTCACAAAAGATAAGTCAACATAGATCACGGACCTTAAGGATAAAATGCAAAACCTATACAACTTCTATAAGAAAACGGAGGAGAAAAATATGTGCCCTTGGGTTTGGTGATGTTTTTAAATACAACACCCAAATCACAATTCATGAAAGAAAAAGTTGGCAAGTTGAACTGTATCAAAACTTGAATTGTCGGCTCTACAAAAAACACTGATAAAAAAATAAAAATCCAAAGCTCAGACTGGGAGAATATATTTGCAAAACATTTTTCTGACAAGAATCTGTATCCAAAATATACAAAAAGTTGTTAATACTCAAAAATAATAAAAGACAACTGAAAAATGGGCAAAAGATCTAAATAGACACCTCACCAAAGAAGATATCCAGATGGCAAATAAACATGAAAAGTTGTTCCACATCATTTGTCACAGGAGAACTACTAATTAAAACAATGAGCTATCACTATACACCTATTATAATGGCTAAATACAAAAATATTTAACAATATTAAATGTTAACAAAGATGTAGAGCAAGAAAAACTCATTCATTATGGGTGAAAATGCAAAATGGTAGTTACTTTGGAAGAGAGGTTGGCATTAAAGCTAAATATAATTCTACTATATGATTCAGCAATTGTGCTCCAAGGTATCTGCTGAACTGATTTGAGAACTATTTCCACACAAAAACCTTCACGAGAAAGTTTATAGCAGCTTTATTCATAATTGCCAAAAACTGGAAGTAACCAAGATGTCCTTCAATAAGTGTATGAATAAACACACTGTGGTACAAACATTGATAATTATTCAATGCTAAGAAGAAATGAACTATCAAGGCACATGGATGAACCTTAAATGCACATCGCTAAGAGGAAGAAGCCAGCCTGAAAAAGCTATATAATTATATCATGATTTAAATTATATGACATTCTAGAAAGTCAAACATTACCTCAGCCAGGTTATCAACAGTGATAAATCATATTGATAGTATGTGCTTACGATACCTTGGATATATATGTACCCTAAAATGGCACTTTATCTCTGTGACCTTTCTCTCAAAACCATATTACCCACTCCAATCATGAGAAAAACATCAGACAACCTCCAATTGAGAGATATTCTACCAATTACCTGATCAGTACTTTAAAACTGTCAAGGTCATCAAAAATAAGGAAAGTCTGAGACTGTCATAGCCAAGAGTAGCCTAAGGAGACATGACAACTAAATGTAATGTAGTGTCTTAGATGGGATCCTGGAACAAAAGAAGGACATTAGGGGAAACTAAGGAAATCTGAATAAGGTATGGACTTTAGTAATAATGTACCAATATTGGTCCATTAATCATAACAAATGTGCCATGCTAATGTAAGGTGTTAATAACAGAGAAAATTGGGTATGAGGAATGTAGAAAATCTGTAGTATCCTCACAATTTTTCTGTAAATCTAAAAGTGTTCTAAAACACAAAGTTTATTTTAAAAACAACTGTATTTTCGTATCAAGCAATAAACAATCAGAAAGTGAAGTTTTAAGATTCCATTTACAACAGCATCAAAAAATCGGAAATACTTAACAATAAATCTGACAAAAGAAGCATAAGACCTGTACACTAAAAATAATAAAATATCCTACGGGAAATTAAAGATCTAAGGAAAAGGGAGAGAGATACTGTGTTCATGAGTGGGAACACTTGATATCCTTTAGATGTCATTCCCCCAATTCCAATTAAATTCCCAATCAGGCTTATTTGTATATTTGTGAAGCTAATTCAAAGCTAATTCCAAAATTAAGCTGCAAAGAAACCAGGATAGCCAAAAGAACTTTGAGAAAGAACAAAGTTGGAGGACTAGCACTACCTAATTTGAAGACTTAAAACAAACTAATTGGGAGAGTTGTATTTCCCATCAAGATATATAAATAGATCCATTGAACAAAATAGATAACCAAGAAACAAACCTACACTTGTATGGACAACTGACTTTCTACAAGGGTAGAAAACAATTCAATGTAGAAAGGGTAGTTTTTCAACAAATGGTGCTGGAACAATTAGATATCCATATGCAAAAAAGTAAACTTTGATCTATGTCTAGTACTATACACAAAAAGTAACTTGAAATGGATCACAGATTTAAATTTAGGAGTTAAAACTATAAAACGGCTAGAAGAAAACATGCAAGAAAATCTCAGTTACCTTAGGTTTAATGATCTCTTTAAAAGAGCACAAAAAGTGGGATATGAATTTCTGAAAATGAATAAATTTCATTTAATGAAAATCAAGAACATATGCTCCTTAAAAGACGCTGTCAAGAAAATGAAAAGGCAAGCCACAAACAGGGAGAAAATATGTACAAAACATATACCTGACAAAAGACTTATATCTAAAATACTGAAAAAATGTTCATGACTTAATAATTATATCACAACTCAATAAAAGTGTGCAAAACATTTGAACAGACACTAAGGAAGATATATGGAAGGCCTATAGCATATGAACAGAAACGTGAAATCGTTAGTCACTGAAAAAAGCAAATTAAAACCATAATATACCTATTAGAATAGCTAAAATTAAGATACCACACACCAAGTGTTGGTGAGGATATGGAACAACCAAAACATTCATTCACTGGTGGTGCCAAATGTAAAATAAAATAGGACAACCACTTTGGAAAACAGTTTAATGGTTTCTTCAAAAGTTAAACATATATCCATCACATGACTCAGTCACTCTATTTACTCTTCAGGATTTATCCAAGAGAAATAAAAGCATATGTCCATACAAAGACTCACAGAAGAACATTCATAAGTTTTATTTGTTTAGGCCGAAACAGCAAACAACCAAAATGTCTATGACCTATATCCATACAATGGATACTACTCAGTGATAAACAGAAATAAATTCTTGTTTATATGTGATGACAGGGATAAATCTCAGAATATCCTGACAAAAGTATACGGTATGATTTCATTTATATACCATTTTAAAAAATACAAACAAATTTCTATGACAGACAGCAAATCAGTGGTTGCCTAGGGATTAGCAAGGTACGGGACAGGGGACAGAGGCCATGAGGAAACTTTTGGGAGCAATGGTTAGGGATACTATCCTGATTGGGGTGACAGTTATACAGGTACATACATATGTCAAAATAGACCAAACTTCAATAATACTATTAAAAAAAAACGTAAACCAAAAAAGTCTCCAATTCTACATCTACCTGTTAGAGTATTTTAATAAACTGCTAAAATGCTTTCAAAGAACTTCTGAAGAGATGGGAAAATGCTTATGGTACACAATTAAGTGAAACTGCTCAAATATATAACTGAATATAGGATGAAGTCAATTACACAGAATGTTTATACACACAGATAAAAATACTTCTGGTTAGAAACAGACCTACATTAACAATAGTCTTCCCTGGGTTATGGAATCATGGGTGATTTTCTTTACACTTGATTTTCCAAGGCTTTCTTGTTGATGTTGTTTTATTTCATTATTATTTTTATTTTACCTGAAACCTCAATGTCCTTTTAAGCCAGAAATTAACACAAAGATGAAGGGAGGAATTTGAGTGATGATCTACCCTGACAAGTGACTCCAATGTACACACCACAGACCCTTGAAAGATCACAGAGAAGACTCCGGGAACTCATATATGTGAACCAAGTATTATCCATAACTTAGTAATTTGTTTCACACATACGTGAGCTACTATTTTTCAGACGCTCACAGACACACTGAAAATCAACCTTACTGCATCTGTAGAACCTCTAGTTTCCACATCAACAGAAACTAAAAGGGAAACAAAACCATGAACACGGGGGTCATCAGAAGCTCATTCCCTTCCACTTAGTGCCTGTAGGCCACCTTCCTGGACTTTCTTCTGCTACAGCACCAGCATGCAGGAAGGGCTAAGCACAGCAGCCGGCGGCCAGTTGAAAAGTTCCATTACATGTTCCTGTTTCTCTGCTACGCCTTTTTATTATATTCTAAACCACACTTCTTCTAAGCTTTGTGTAAAGCCTGTGCTTTGTATGTTCAACTCCACAACATAATTTAAGTTATAAAGTTAAATTAACAATCAAATGCCAAAGCCCAACGTGCTGTACCCAGAATGGCTTTGTAAAAGCTATTCTAGTAAAGCATTGAGGCTTTCTCCAGAGGTGAAATTGAGATGACTAAAGTTTGAGTTCTGGTGAAGTGTGGCACTGCCAATCTGTGATTGATCTTGGGGAAATCACTTAATGTGTGCTGAGGTTTCTACAGCTGCTTGGTAATAACCCTCCCCAAAATTAAAGTCAACAAATAATTTAATTACTGTTATAAAATACACTACAAAAAGCAGAGTTATTTATAATAAACTATTAGTTGTTCAAAGGCAATTTAGTTTACCTCAAAGAATTATTCTCTGCTTTTTGTCTGCCAAGTTCACTTTCTGTATCCATTGCTTTTCTTGCTAGTGATTTCATTTCTTTTTCCACAGTGGTTATGGTTTCCTTCATCAGAGTCATATTTGACATTTGCTCCATACGTTCATCATCAAGCTATACAAGTAGAATGACAAGGTTACTACCGTCACTAAGAAAGTCTTAGTGATCTTCCTAAGGAGACATCTTCCCTTTGTAAAACTTGTATAGGACAAGATTTATACCATGAGATGATCAGGTTAGGCTTGAACGCTGTGGAAGGCTGCATGGACAGGGGACAAGAATAGTATATCCATCTACATTTTCCATCTGGTTCAATTTGACTTTAGCATACATATCCTATTTGCAAAAAAATTTCTTATTTGTTGTTCAACATTAACAAATTATAGCTATAAAGTGGAATTATGAAAAAAATTGTTTCCCCCATCTACTGCAATTTTCTACTCATTATAAAAACACAATGCAGATAAACTTATAAATATTCAATTAAATATGGTAACAGAAAGTCACATTCCCTTAATTCTGTTTATATAGTCATAGTATCTCAAATAAAGCACCTCAAATCCTTGGTTAGTAAAATAGGTGATGCTTCCCAATTAAGTTCATTTACATATATTTTTCTCATTAATTTTCATTTCAACATAATTTTCTCTCCCCTATCTACTCTTTAGGTAGACTACCTCAGTTTCCCTGTATCTGGCAATGTTTTCTTTAATGACACAGAGATAAAAGTTTTGCTAAATTTCCTGAGAATGCATCCCTAATGGTTTTTTTTTAAAAAGAGCACACTTTGCAACCTAACATAAAAAGGATTTTACTCCCATTTTTAGAAGGGAATAAACAATGAAGAATTGACAATTTACACCATATACACACCACCTTAAGTACTTTAGGATTAGAAGCCCTATCTTAGAAAAATAATAGAACTTCTCTGAACATAAAAAGAAAAGGAAAAGGGAAAGCCATTGACAGGTTATAGCCCAAAGTGCAAAAGTGACTTTTCTTTACGTTATGAACTGTACACTCCAGCTCCTCTATCCTTTGTTCCAAGTGAGCCTTCTCATTAAATGCTGTCTCTTGGGCAATCTGGGTGAAAAAACAGAAACAAAACAAAGTGCTTTCAATGTCACTGCATTGTGTTTCACAAATGTTCACACAGATACAATTCTTCCAAACCTTTAGCCTTTCCCTCAGACTATCTCGTTCTGTGGTCATTCTTCGTAAATCAGTGAAGGCTACATCTCTTTCAGTCTCCACCCTCCGGAGGATGGCATGTGCTGTTGTTGATTTAGGAGACTTACAGCTTTTCATCATTTCTCGTCGAAGTCGGGCAATTTCTTCCTGCGCCTATTATTTAAATACACAGATAGACTCCTGTTGAACAAGCTTTAGAACAGACATAAATATAGCTATTTATATCCAGCCAATTAAAACCCAAACCTATTATCAACAGGCAGGGAATGGGATAATGGTATAATTTGGACTGTATAAGATTGTAATCAGTATCTATTCAGCTAGTCTCCAAGTCTCAGAGAAATGCAAACCCAATTTCCAGAGCTAAGCCTTCACCAGATTCCTGGACCTCATCTCCTGAAGTGTCTTCTAAGATATCCCAAAGTAAACTATAATTATTTCCTCCCACTTTGAATAGCACTCTGTCCACTGGCTCTTTCTCCCCTGACTTCAACCATGCACAGGGCTCCCAAATCTTGAAAAATTGTCACTTAATCCTGTTGTGCCCATTTACCATCTTATGCCACTCTCTCTTTCAAGTGTCTCTACCACGGCCTGTTCCTTACTACCCATTTTCTCACCCCACTGTAACCTGGCTCCCACACTCACCATTTTGCAGAATTTCAACTAATGACCTGCCCATACCTAATGGCCTTTTCTCAGTTCCTGTTCTTAATATTTTGGTACCATTTGACATTGTTTTCAACACCCTCTTTGAAATTTCTTTCTCCCTTGGTCTTATAACATTGTTCTGCCTTTGTTTCCTGTCTTATTTTTCTCTTTCAAATAAAAAAAACTTCCCAAGACCCTCTATTTACAGCTTTCTCATTCAAAGAACTCATCCACTTTTGAAGGCTCAAAACTCACCTCTAAGCAGATGACTTCTAAATCTACATATTCTGCTGTTGCTTTTCTCCCTACTCCAGTCACAAATTTCTTACTGTTCATGGTGATTATTACCTGAATATACTCTATCTTTCTGAAAGCAAACATCTTTTCTATCAAATCACCAATGACTTTGCTATTTCTTTTTCTATTACCACAATTCTTCAGTCATTCAAAACAGAACTTCAGACATTTCCATTGATCCCTCATTTTTTCTCGATTCAAATCTTCTCAAGTCTTCCTTGACAACATCCTAGTTTAGTCCCTTAATACCTCATCCATGTACTACTGCAACAGTCTTCTAAAGAGTCCATGGTTTCTCCTTCCTTCAGTTTTCTTGAAGGAAAAGTTGTTAAATATGAAGATAACATATAAAGACTACATACGAGGATCCAAGGTGAAAGAGGACTCAGTGGAAGCTACACTGACACTCCCAGGTTCAAACTGGAATTACAACTAAAATATAGAAAAACCATCCTGAATAATCAAATGCAACTGAAGACGAGCTGGAAAGCACCCTCACAACTAAGGATAAAAAGTGGAGACCACACAGAGACTAGTAGGAAGTATGGAGGTGCCAGAGGGCTGGCTGGACTCCCACAGGCAGCAGCTGAAAGTCTGGGGGGATTTCACAGCTCTTGGGGGTACCCACTGAGAACTCTGGCATCTAAACCCCAAGCTGGGCTACCCAGCCCAGAGCTCCAGAACTGAGAAAGGTGAACACATAACATCTGGTTGTGAAATGAAGCAGAGTTTCTGTCTGCCAGGGAGAGATGGCTGAAAATAATGGTGCCCTCTTAAAGGGCCAACACAAAAAGTTTTTTGTTCATCCACTCACCTTGGGGGCTGGTAGAGGGAAGGCAGAGTGGACTAGAACAGTGTGAGGAGAATTCAGTGGGGATAGCTGGGGGAAGGGAGCTGAGACGGCACCCATTTGGACCCTAGTGCTGAGTCATCCCGCCATACAGCAGGGGACATCTTTCTCAGGCAGACATTTACCTTCCAAGCAGCTTTTGCCTGGAGGGGAAGCAACTGCCCCACCAGGATGGAAAACCTCTGGCCATAGCCTATGGAGTTTCTATAGCCTAAGGCTCCTTAAGAGACTGATAGCAATTGGCTACCCCACCCTGTGGAATTTCTACAGTCTGAGGCTCATCAAGACACTGAATAACAATAGCCTCTGGGTGTTTTGAGTCTTTGCCTGATTTGCTTCTGGACCCAGGGCTTGGAAAAGCAGACCTTGGTGTATATCTTGGTCCTGTCCAAACAGGCCCAGTCCCAGCAGACGAAACCAGAAGCTCTGGAGTGTGGAAAACTTTAAACAGGGTACTCAAGGCCAGTCACAAACAGCATCTGGCATTGGCCTGCACCAGAGACCATCCAAAAGACTGGGAGTCCTAGCAGATCTACCTAATACATAGAAGCAAATCCAAACAGGCAGCCAAAATGGGGAGACAAAAAAAAACAAGCCCCAAATGAAAGAACAAGAGAAGTCTCCAGAAGAAGAGCTAACTGAAATGGAGATAAGCAATCAATCACATATAGAGTTCAGAATACTGATCATGAAGATACTCAACAGCATGAAAAAAGATATGGGAACTATGAAGGAAATTAAGAATGACATAGTAGAAATAAAAAAACACACCAAACATTATAAGGAATGAACAGAGATTAGGGGAAGCTGAGGATTGGATCAGCAAATTAGAAGACAGGGTAGAAAAAAATCACTCAATCAGAGAACCAAAAAAACCCCCACAATTAAAAAACAAGAGAACAGTTTAAGGGAGCTCTGGAACAACATAAAACATAACAATATTAGCATCATAGGGGTGCCAGAAGAGGTTGCAAGGATTAGAGAATCTGTTTGAAGAAATAATGGTAGAAAACTTCCCTAACCTGGTCAAGGAAAAAGTCACACAAGTTCAGGAGGCACAAAGAGTCCCAAGCAAGAAGAACCCAAAAAGGCCCATGCCCAGACACATCATAATTAAATGCCAAAAATTCAAGTCAGAGAGAGACTCTTAAAGGCAGTAAGAGAAAAGCAAGCTGTTACCTACAAAGGAGCTCCCCATAAGGCTGTCAGCTGACTTCTCATGAGAAACTCTACAGGCCAGAAGGGAATGGCAGGAAGTATTCAAGGTAATGCAAAATAGGATCTGAAACCAATACTACTCTATCCAGCAAGGCTATCATTCAAAAATAGATGGTGAAATAAAGAGCTTTCTTAACAAAAAAAGGCTAAAGGAATTTATCACCACCAAACCAGCATTGCAGGAAATGTTAAAGGGACTGCTGTAATAAGAAGTTGAAATAAAGAGAATGAGAAACATAGGCATAAAGAAATAAAATAGCAGTAATAATTATCTATCAATAATAACCTTAAATATAAATGGTTAAATGTCCCAATTGCAAGACATAGGGTAGCTGAATGGATAAGAAAACAAGACCCAAATATATGCTGATACAAGAGACCCAACTCAGAAAAAAAGACTCACACAGGCTGGAAAGAAAAAAACAAAAACAAAACTTCTGGAGGACTTTAAAGGAGAGATCAACAGCAATACAGGCATAATAGAGGACTTTAACACCCATTGACTTTCCTAGATAGATCTTCCAGATAAAAAATCAACAAGGAAACAGTGACTCTAAATGACACACTAGATCACATGGATTTAATTGAAATTTACAGAACATTCCATTCCAAAGCTGCAGAACAGGCATTCTCCTCAAGTACACATGGAACATTCTAAAAGACAGACCACATGTTAGGACACAAAACAAGTCTCTACAAGTTTAAGAAGACTGAAATCATATCAACCATCTTCTCAAACATTTACACAATGGAATACTATGCAGCTGTAAAAACTAAGGATCCCTCCTTACCCTTTCAGACAGCATGGTGGGACCTAGACAGTAATATGCTAAGCAAAATAAGCCAGTCAGAGAAAGACAAGAGACACATGATCTTACTCATATGTGGAATCTAATGAACAAAATAGAACCAGAGACACAGAAGCAAGGAACAGACTGAGGAATCTCAGAGGGAAGGCCGGGGTGGGTGGGTGGTGGGGGAGAGATTAACATAAGAATTTATATGCATATATGCATAACCTACAGACACAGACAATAGGGAGTGAAGGGGGGAGGGGTACAGGATGGAGGAGGTCAATGGGGGAGAAAGGTGACATTTGTAATACTTTCAACAATAAAGATAAACTTAAAAAATTAAAGAAATAAAATCCATGTATGAGATAATATAAAACTGTTACCAGGTTAAAATTGTAAAAGTATGGCTTTAGTTACATTTCTTCTGTTTTAAAAACAAAACAAAGAAACAACTGCCCATTACTTATAAAGCAAAGTATAAACCCCTTGTAAGGCCCAGTGACCAGGCTCCACCATATAGTCCAGAAGCTGGTAAACCACACTGGCTCACAGGCCAAATCGAGCCTGCCTCCTGTTTTTTGTAGGTCTATAAGCTAATAATGGTTTTACATTTTTAAATGGTTGAAAAAAATCAAAAGAAGAAAAATATTTCATGACAAGTAAAATAATATGAAATTCAAATTTCAGTGTCCATAAATAAAGTTGTATTGTAACAGAGCAAATGTATTCATTTATGTATTGTCCATGGGTGCTTTTGCACCACAAAGTCAAGAGCTGAATAGCTGTGACAGATCGCATGGCCTGCAGAGCCAAAGATACTTATTATCTGGGCCTTCACTGTAATATTTTAAACAAAAATAAAATTTAAAGATTAAAAAAAAAAAAAGTATGCAGACTGCTCTACCTCTCAAGCTCAGCTCCCCCTTCCTCCACTGACTCATACCTTTGGTTCTAGTCTTTAACTGATCCACTTATCTGCTGATTTTCCTGCCTTTATCAATTTGTCTCACAGCATTCCTTTAATCTGAATGTTCCTTCCTAGCCCTTTCAAGATAACAGAAATCCCATTCATACCGCCCTCAGGACTCAAACTCAACATTGTCTAGCAAAGATTTACGTGATCACCATAAAGAAAAATACCCATTTATTTTATTTTTACAATACCTTCTAGACTACTTATGCTACAGTAACAAAAAATAAAGACAATATACTTTATCTCCCCAACAAGATTGCAAAAATAGAAACCAATGTCTGTGAATGTTTTTAAACTGTGTTTCATGGCACTCCACGGCTTAATGAGGCAGCTTCTCATTAACTAATTTACACATCAAATCTCAATATAAAATAATCTGAAGAGAAGGAATATGGCAAAAATTTGAAAATCACTAGCTTATAATATACTTATGCAAGTGTAGGATTTTCAAGGCAGAGGTTTCAATAAAATAATCTCATACTTTATACTAATGCACACAAGGCTTCTCATGAAAGGACCTTCCCACCCCTTAGCTGTCCTGGCCCAAAAATCATGGGTACGTACATTGACTCAGGTTTCATGGCACAGGCACAGACACAGACACCAGGGAATTCTAATCAAGCCAAGTAATCACCCCCACACTTCAGACAACGGGAATTCGAATCAAAGCGAAGCAATTACCCCACACACTTAGAAGTGGTAGCTGCTTTTTAAATTCATCTAACTAAAAACAATAAAGCTAATTATAGAGGAGAATATCGTGTATCATCCATTAAATAGCTAATATAATGTTTAGTAAGATCTTACTAAGACTGCTGAGGAGCAGAAATTAACAAGACTGAGAATAGTGTGTGAAAGAAGACAGTACTGTGATTTAATCAAAAGGATTTCATGCTATGATATAGTAGACACTGACCATTTCTTTTATATATTAAGATATATGCCCAGACTGATCCATTTCCACATGGGCAAATTCACCTATAACAAGCTTAATTAAATGGCAAAGAGCAGACCCAAACAGGAGTCAGGAAATCTGGATTGAATCCTGATGTTTCTGGGCAAATCAGTTAACCTCATTAGCTCTGCCTTCTCACATATAAAATGAAGCAAACAGGCCTTATAATCATGGTCTCCAAAGTCACTTTAGTTATTTAAAAACAGGTCATTAAGCTTGACTTCAAACTAAAATAAAATCCACTAAAGTGAACTTTAAAACTTTGAAACAAAGAATAAAAAAAACCACCAGTATCTCCATCTTAGCCCATCATCCTGCACAAACTTGCTGTAATTCTTTAAAAAATTTGTTATTTTTAAAAGAAATTATGTTGATAATGTATGGGGTTTAATATTTGTGGATTAAAGAAACTATTTGGTTAATAGAGCTATTAATTTTAAGCTAAAAATAGAGATAAACTACAAACTGATGTTACTCTCTGAAATTAAACAAATTATATGGCAGTTTCTTAAGTGATTGATAGTACATCAAAATATGTTACTATTTTTTACTCTCCAAATTAAAATCTTTTTACCTTGAACTCAACATACCCTTCCATTTAACATTTTTCTCCGTATCTTATTCCAAACGTCAGACTATTTTCTATGTATATGATCTTTCATGGCTATGGGGATAAAATGTGTGTGTGTGTGTGTACACATATACTGTATTGGAAATATATTTCATTAAAAATATCTTAAGAACAAAGGTAATTCTTAACTGGTAGTTAAATGAATTTGATTGGCAGGTTTAAGCATACCTAACAAATTGTGTATCTAGAATTAACTATTACTACTTACATATTTTGTTTCCTTAAAACCAAGTTTACCTGTTCATAAAGGACAAAGGTCTTGTCTCTCTCCGATGTAAGAACCTTGACATTACCCTGAATTTCTGCCAAATGTCGCTCATATTTTTCCAGCATGCACTTAAGCTCTTCGCGGTCTCGTGTTGTCCTCAAAAGGTCTACATCACAGGTTGTACCCTACAATTATTATATAAGAAATGTGAAGTTCTTCTTCGACATGATGGCAGTACACAGTCTCTAAGTACTTAAGCAAACATGATGATATAGTAAACAGAAATGATAAACAAGTTTAAAAGTCACCTCTCTTTTAAACAGCTTCATCCCAAATTGCTCCAAATTGTCTGATTAGCTCCCAACCACTACTAATGCTGGGATAAAGAACCAATTTCAATGATCCACTGTCCATCAAAGAGACCTATGTATGCCTCCCAAACTCTCTGATATACCAATTCATGTCAATCAACTTGAATTATTTTCAGATTAGGTAAATCAAAGAATAAAAGTCAGTGTTTGACCAACAAACTCCAAAATATGTATAACTTTCCAAAACCTACCCGGGAAGATGGAGGTGGGTGTCTCGGACTTTTAGATCTACTTCTGATCATCTTTCTCAAGTTTTGAGCTTCACTCTCGTAGTAATCTCTGTCTGCTTCTAAAGTCTTGATAAAGGAATCAAGTCTGAAAAAAAATTTATTTTGTGTTTTTTCAATCTCTAAAATTATCTTACCAGGGAGAAAAAATTAGGCCATTATTTCAAGCTAAACTACACCGTCATTTTCTACATGAAGTTGAACACAAGCAGGATCCTTAAAAATAATAATTGTGGTGTTTTAAAAATAACTTTAAAAAATCATACTTTAAAAAAAAGCAGTTAGAGCCCGGCTGGGCGTGGCTCAGCGGTTGAGCGTCGACCTAGGATCCAGNATTAGAGCCCGGCTGGGCGTGGCTTAGCGGTTGAGCGTCGACCTAGGATCCAGGCGATTGGGTTCGATTCCCGGTCAGGGCACATGCCTGGGTTGCGGGCTTGATCAATGACTCTGTCATCATTGATGTTTCTCTCTCTCTCTCCTTCTCCTTTCCTCTCTCTGAAATCAATAAAGGTATATTTTTTTAAAAAAGCAGTTAGATATCTTTCTTTTCCTCCATTTCTGAATGTTCTATATTTTTATTTAACTAAAAGTACCCTTTAAATTTACTCAATAATTTTGGAAAAAAAAAAATGGTAAAGAAATTTCAGAGAGGCCAGGAATGTCTAAAGATCTAGTCACAAATCCTAGAAATAAAATTACTTTGCTTACAAAAAGTTGTATAGCATCTAAGTTTTGTTCAATAATTGTTCAAGGAATGAATAAATTAAACGAATGCTGGATATTCCATACTTATATAAACTTTCAAGTGCATTCCCATTCACTTCAGTATATTTAGAAACATTTCTTTTACAACATTTCTTTTACCAATGCTTTACTGGAAGGAAATGATAGAGATACTTACAGAGAAGGTATTTCAAATATTTTAAATAATAACATTACAGTGTCTAAATAGCAGTTTTCATTTCACATTGTTAGATAAAGAAAACATATTACTTAGAATTAAACAACAAAATCTGACTGACAGGTATTTATTACTAAGAAAAATCAAAATGAATGTGTAGACAAATGCATTTTACATTTTGAGAATGAAATTATTCAGTTATCAATTTAAATCAATTAACAGCTAAGGGCATTAACAAAACTAACCAAAAGTTCTCTCCCCCTCCATGAGAGAAAGGAGTAACAATGAAACAGCAAGCCCAGCATCAGGGCTGAGTGTAGAAAACAAACATGTTTTATTGTTCACAAAATCATGAGAGTCAAAACATATGTACAATTTTTCTTTGTTTTACTATACTAACAAAAATAAAAATTATTCCTTCACAAATATTTAAGAAAAATGTACTTACAGATCTAAGTCTTTTTATTGTATCTTCCAATACTGTTATGTTATTTTGCTGGAAAACGAGTTCAATCTGAAAATCAAGCCAGAAAAAAATTATTTGGATTTTAAATGTTTAAACTGATTTAACTGGAAAAAGAGAATCAAAAGAGCAAGCCACTTAAAAATAAAAACATACAAACAGTGAATATTTTACAAAAGAAATAATACTCTACTTCTTCACATTTCCCTACTTTTGACAGTTCCTTTACATTATCTAATGTCTTGTATAAGATATTGATTGTATTTTACCAAATGATTCCCCACAAACTGGAAAAAATGTTAATACTAATTATAATCCTGAAGATGATAATAGGGAATAAAAGAATCATTAGAATTTTAAAAGCTTTCCCAAATCACCATAGTCAGAAGGGATTGTCTTTCCCTCTGAACTTTTAACAGTTTAGTTCAATCCAATCCACAAAAGCTTTTTGTATCAGATTTATGACATCAAACACACCCAGTTTCATAGTATAGTTACTCATAGTTATATATTTAGTGTATGACTAAATTGTATGTTCCTAGAGGCCAGTGACTGTTTTTATGCAAAGCTGTAATGGTCTTTGCTAAAAGTTGGCAAGTTAGTTTAATAATTTTCTCAATTCATAAACCTCCCCTTCATTATTCTAAACTAAAATGCACTATATTTTAAATATATTCTGGAATTACTGCATATCATTTGTTCTTTTATATATATATATACATATATATATATACACACACACATATATATATACATATATATATATATATATATATATATATATATATATATCTTT